GCTGCTAAGTAAATTGATTTTTGTGCCCGGCTATCTGGTACAGTCTGGTGGGTTATTTTCTGCCTTTTCTTTCGGGAAAGTTGTTCTAATTTACACAGCTGATTCTAAGGTCTTAGGATTTGAAAATAAGAAAGGGCATTCTCAAACCAGTTCCTGCCGGGGATGTGGCTCACTTGGACAGTGCCGGAATAGCACTTGCTCGAGGCCCTGGCTCCAAGAGCAGCACCATCACAAATAAAGCAGAAACAAAAGCAACCAAATCATTTCTGTAAATGAAAATCTCAAGGGGGCTGGGAGGTGGCTCAGTGGAGAGAGTGCTTTCTGCACAAGGAGTCTGAATTCCCAGGACCGACGTAAAACCTGCGAGCAGTCAGCCAAGCAGTTGGGAAAGGCATAGTGGCGCAAGCCTTCGCTCCCAGCACTCGGAGGCAGCGACAGGGGGACCTCTGGGAGTTTGAGGCCTGGTCTATAGAGCAAATTCCAGGACATCCAGAGCTATACAGTAAGACCCCATCTTTATAAAAATAAGACAGACAAGATAGAGCCGGGAACAGAAGCTGACGCTAGTGCTGGGAGCTCCAGACCAGTCGGAAACACTGTTTCAAACGCTTAAAGTGGAGAGCAACAGATGAAGAAACATGATGGTGTACATACACAGGTGATCAAGCTTACACACATGTACACGTATGTACATTACACACACATGTACACACACATGCGTACAACATACACGCATTCTCATGCCTAGAACTTGTTTCAGAGTAATCTATCGGAAGAGGTGACAAGGGAAAATCAGATAAAGTGACCCAGGGTGGGAACTGGCAACAGTCTTAACGGTGACTGGCCCCTCTCTCCATCCCCGTGTATCTGTGAAATTCTCCGTTACAGCGGTATAAAAAACAGACAAATGAATCCAGGAATTTGCTAGTAGCTAGCCTCAGCCTTTAGCTTCAGCTAAGTCTCTTTTTACAAATTGCCAAGACATGCTGTCTCTCGTCATTTCCTGTCCTCCATATCGTATGTTTTATAACAGTGGTATGGGCGAGGGGCAGTGCTGTAGCTGGACTGGAAACTCAGTGGGGTGAGAGCGCAGGACATGCAGCCCGAGGGCTTCTTGAGCATCCCATGTCAAGCACAGCTTCTGGCCCTGGGAATGGCAAGCCGCAGTGCCTTTCACTGGGGACTACTGTGCTTCCCCACAGGCCCCGTGGGCGTAAGGAACACAGAAATCAATAGTGATGGACAAATGGAGGGGTGCTATGGCCTTGTGTAGGACAGGGAGGCAGCCAGTTTACATGTCCTGTAACTCCCCAAACTTCAGGAGCAGGAGACAGCCCAAGTGCAGGAGCTTGGGGATTCATCAGCGTGAAAGAGGCAGGAAAAGGCCATGTAGCTGCACTGAACAGGCAGGCTGGCCCCCAGGGCTCCTACATGATTAAACTACATATAACTCCTGAAGGTGGAAACTTCTAGAGTCCAGTGGTAAGCCACTGTTCCAAACAGTTAGCTTCTTCCAGGAAATAAACACGAGAGGAGGGATAACCGAGTCAAATGGGGTGCTGCATCCCTACAATCCCAGTACCGGGAGGCCGAGTAAGGAGGGCTGAAAGTTCCAGGTCAAACCAAGCTACACGGTGAGACTGACTCAAAAATAGTAACTAAGCAAATACCCCAGTAAGTACTAAAACACAGATACATGAGAATGGAGCGTTTGTATAAATCTATTTGAGAGCTACCGCAGAACACACCCTAAAATATAACTCCCCCCCCCCCGACCTTGGGCATACAAAATCAGGGCCTTTGAAAGCGCTAAAGAGTCAGAACCAGACAGCTGTCATCTCCTCTGTCCTTAGTTGGGCCAGCTTGACTCCACTTCAAGCCATGAGGTAAGGGGTGAAAAAGAAATCAATTTGTAGATTTGGTCAAGGTGTCTACAAGAATAAATAAAAACACACCCAGGGTTTTGTGGAATTATAAACCCTGGGTCTAATCCTGGCTTCTGAACACGTCTGGTTGGGGCTCCTAGGAAGCAACTTTTCCATTGCTTCAGGCGGATCTGAGTTAGGTTTTTCTTCCTTATAATAATCTCCCAGCAAGAGAAGAAATTACGATTGATTCCTTTTTGCTGAATGCTTAAAAATAAAAATCTCTTCTAACTATAATTAAGCTTTGGTTCCAGCCAACACAGTTTATACCAGAGGCATATTTCAGTCCTCTTCCCTCCTCCCAGAGCATGGGGGAAAGCACAAAACAACATGGTCTCACACACCTCTCTGTGATGTATTCTGTATGTATTTAGCATATACTTACTCTTCAGGGTCTAGCGGCCTCCCTGGAATGCTGTTGGGGGCCTGCCTAGCTCCTTCCTTCGGTACAATTAGTGAAAACCCCTCCCAATGGGAGCCTCCATCAGGAAACATAGCTTTTAGGGTACAAGGATCTGGCGCCCACAATAAAGGCTGCATGGTCTCTGTAGCACCTCCTATTCCAGGGTCCCCTAGGGGACTGAGCTGAAGGAGGCTCCAGCCAAAGCCACAACCTCCATAGACTCTTCCCTGCTCCCACCCCTCCCATCCAAAAGCAGTTCCTCACTAAGGCCCCTCAAGAGAGCCCAGACTCACTCCACTTTAGGAGCCCGAGCTATGACCTTCGAGGGCCCCGTGGAAGGAAAGTGGAATGAGCACGTGTCATTAATTTGCTGTACTTGGGTGACTATGGAACACAGCAACTCCATCTGAGGTTATGACCCTGGGACACAGCAGACAGACTTAGGACGCTAAGGAGGCAGCAAGCGAGCATTTGCATAAACTCAGATCTCCTGCGGCGGCATCCAAGGCCAGAGACAAAACAGGCTTTTCACCCAGACAATCTGCGGACCATCTTCACAGGACCAGTTGTCCATCCCTGTCCCTTCAGAGACGGGTGGTCCGTCTTCCATTCTAAGACAAAGGTTCTTTCCCTAGTACTGTTAGCCCGGCATGAGGCAAACTGACTTTGTGTTCATTTCTCTTTGATATCCAATATTCTGAATTCCACTGAACTGAGTAGAAAAGAAAATCGTGGGATAAAATCCCAGAGAATTCTGTCTATACTTGATGGTGCGATGAGGTTGTTACAGCCTGAAAGAAAATCATTCACTTATCTATCATTTGTTTCAAGGACTGAAAGAACAGGGCTGGGGAGATGCCTCAGCTTGTAAAGTACTTGCATTGAGGACCTGAGTTCAATCCTCCAGAACCCAACTTAAAAAAAAAATGCAGATGGGTCCTGGGGCATGCTTGACAGCCAGCCTAGCCCACTTGCTGAGATCTAAGCCATTGAGAGACCTTGTCTCAAAAGGCAAAGTGAGGAAGAACCTGAAGAAGTATTCCAAGGTTGTTCTGTGGCCTCACACACATGCACACATGTAAACCCATGTAAACACACACACACACAAAAATAAAAAAATATAAAACCAGTCAACTGATCAGTCATAAAAAAATGCAACTATGCTTGCCCAGGTAAGCAAACTCCTGATTGAACCAGTTTCCTGGCTGACTGTCCTCTAAACTCATCTGGCCCTGACTCCCCATGCAGCTCCTGTCTTGGGCTGAGTCAGAAGCAAGCTAAAGGTGGGGAATGGCCCTGCACAGGGAAGAGCTGCTCTCTGCAGATGTGCTTGCTGCCCGATATACCTCACTTTTCTTTTTTAAAAGATTTATTATGTATACAGTGTTCTGTCTGCATGTGTGCCTACAGACCAGAGAGAATGCCAGATCTCATTACAGATGGTTGTGAGCCACCATGTGGTTGCTGGGAATTGAACTCAGGACCTCTGGAAGAGCAGCCATCTCTCCAGCCTCCACCTCACTCTTTATTGAGGGCAGTTCTCCAGGGTCCTGTGAGAGCACCCAGACTGACTGACGGCCGAAGGTGGGCCATCCACATCGCTGAACAGAACCTCTGCCAGTGGGAACTGTTCTTTCCTACAGTGTAATTCAGATCCACTTTCCCACTTTTCTTTTTAAAGACTTGCTCTCATGTTGCTGTCTAAGATGCCTTAACTCTGAGGCTCAAGCAATTCTCCTGCCTTAGCTCCCAGCAGTAGGAACTACAAGATACAACATGGTGCCCAGCTCTCGCAACTTAAAAAAAATTCATTTGACTGCTTGTTTATGGGGTGGGCGTATCGTGTGTGTGGAAGTCAGAGGAGAATTCTCTCCTGTCATGTGGGTTCCAGGGACAGAACTCGGGTGGTCGGGCTTGGCAGCAAGTCCTCTGCCTGCTGAGCCATCTCACTCACCCTCCTGCAACTCTACAGAAGCACTGTCTTCTGTCTGCTCTAAAATCTTTTCCCCCAGAAAGTGCTTCAAGTCAACGATGGGATAGCAGAGCCAGGGCGACGCAGAACCACCAGAAGAACCTTGGTCCTGCCCTAGCCTAAGCCTCCAAACTGCACCTCCCATTTCAACCCTCACCATGGAAGAGGCCTTGGGTTCAGAACCAAGTACCAAAAAGTAAGAAAATAAGTAAGCTTTTGCAAAGGTGATAAGAGCATCTACTTCATAAGCTTGTCGTAAGGAATAAAAAACAATGACATATGGAAAATCCCCCAGCCAGCCGACCTGTCCCTTGTACATATCTAATAAACATTAAGGTTTGTCTCTCTGTTTATCCTAGAAGCTTGTCTTGTTGCAACAGCTGAGAATTCTGGGAGAAAATGTTGAGAAAGCTCTAACTCCTTTGAATCCGCAGGGTTTGAAGAAGAGTATCCCATGCATGAGTGAAACAGGCCTGGGCAGATCACAGGGGTGACCCGGCACGCGGGGCACAGGGGTGACACCGGGCACAGGGGTGACCCGGCACGCAGGGCTCAGGGGTGACACCGGGCTCAGGGGGCACAGGGGTGACACGGGGCACAGAGGTGACCCAGCACACGGGCACAGCGGTGACCCAGCACACGGGCACAGGAGTGACCCAGCACACGGGCACAGGGGTGACCCAGCACAGCAGCCGCCTACCTGGTGGTCGTCCGAATGGTGTTTTCCTTTGTGTGATTGTGTTCTTTGCTCACTTTTTCTGTAAGGAGACAGAAAGAAACACATGCCTTGGGTTACACTCAGTTTACTTCCATCTTTTAGACAGAAACACCCAGTTTCTCTCTTATCTTCTTGGGAAAATCAAACGCATCTAGACGCAGCCACAAAACTACTAAACACTGAGCAAGCAGAACTAGCGAGTTAGGTGTGGGTGCTGCCTGGTTGTAACTCGGCCTCAGTAAGCACACAGGTTAGGTGCACGGGAAGGGTGGGTGTCTACCCATCTTTCCCTGGCTGGTAACTCCTGTGTTCCCCAGGCCCTCCAACTGCGGTTGTGGCAAGTGTTCTTTCCCAACTCTGACGACAGTCTGCGTTGTTCGACTCCTTCCGAGGACGGCCAGAGAGCTCTTGGTGCTGTCATGGACTGCTTATTCTAATAAATGTCACCAGGAACAGAACGATGTCATTAGACAAGAGGTAAGCCTGCTCCTCGTGCATCCTGGGGTCTGTATGCAGCAGCTGTCAGAAATTATTTAATTAGCTTTCAAGAACACCAAGTTGAACCATAGCCTCGCTGACCCCGCACAAACGTGAGGACTCTTCCCCTGACCGTCACAGCTCTCGATGGCTTCTCTGAAGCATTTGCAGAAAACCTGGCCAACCTACAAAGCTTTCAGATCTTATGACCAGGTAGGTTTCAAAAGATAAAATCTCATCTTGGGGACTTTTTGCAAAATGTAAACAAGGCTTATACACCTTTCCCAGCTGCCTTTGACTGAGGGGACGCTAAGGAAGCTAAGTCGTGTGTGTTTACACACACACCTCCTTCCCCTCCTTCCAACAGTGACACCAAGGGAGGAGCTGGATTGCCTGCCAGCATCCACTGTTGCTAGCTAGCTAGCATGTAGTCTGGGCAGGATGGCTTGTCTGGGGTCACCTAGGCTGTGTCTGTGCCAGGGTGGGTCCTCTCAGAGCCACACAGTCCTGCCTTCAGCTGATCCATACTCTTAAATCACTATCTACGAAGCCTAGGCTTTTAGAAAAGGGACAGCATGAGCAAGGCCCTTTGAAGCTTACTGAGTTAGTGATCTCCACCACTTTAGAGAATCTCAGTGTCACTGAGACACCGACACAGTGTGGCGGTGCCACCAGGCCACAGAGAAGCTAACCTGTCAGGGTGACACTGACTTCAGCTTGTTCCCTGCCTGTTTCTAAGGGGTGCAACAGTGCCATATGGAACAGGGATGTGAAGGCTGTCTGCTCTATCAAACTTCAGTGAGAAATGACTGACGGAAAAACTTCATGAAGACCCAGATGAGGGCTTGTGTGTGTGTCTGCCAGAATACCAGTCTTGTAAACACACAAAACCAGTCTTCGTGGTCTAGGAGGAGCAGCATGGCAGATTCTCCAGGGACAAACAGGACAAGCTTGGAAAAGCAGACAGAAAGCACAGCTCAGGTACCAGACCCTTCACAGGGCTAAATTCCTGCACCTCTGGATTCCAAGCATTTGAAGGAAAAGGGGTTCATCTACAAAAACACCCTCTCAGACCACAGCTGGAGACGGCCTTCGTGCTTCCACTTTTTACTTTCCTCTCTCTCTCTCTCTCTCTCTTTAATTTTTTTCAGCAAGATATAATAAAAATTTCACTAATTCAGACAATGTGATTTTTCCCAGCAATACAGGTTCTCTTGGAGGACGTGGAAGTTTCTCTTTCGTCATTAGAAAGAAATGGCCTTGAGTAAGATCAACACTACACCTCCCAGAGGTGCATGTTTGAGCCTGGGCAAGGGGATCACCAGAGAACTGCACAGAGCCCTAATTCCAACCATGTTAAAGCCAGTTGGGCAGGTGAGAGGGCTCAACAGGCAGAGGGTCTGAGCTCTACCTCTGGGCTCCATGTGGTGGGAGTAGGGAAGCAGCTCCCAAACGCTGTCACCTGACCGCCACATAGATAAAATCCTAACATTTTCTACAAGTGAGTTAGGAATCCGATTTGGCAACACCTCATTAATATTGCAGTATAACACAAAACAGATCCTTCCAAACCCCCTATGGTGTGGGTTACCTCCCCTTCAGAAGAAGGGCTTTCCAGCCAGTGACATGTACCACCATTCACCTACCTGAGAGCTGAAAAAGAAGCTCAGAAGCCATCTTCACGGAGATGTCCTGGCTGAAGAGATTCCTCTCCGGGGGAACTCTACCTTCTGGAAGCTTCTGTAAGGGTTCAGTTTTCTCTCGCCCCATTAAAGTGCTGTAGCCAAGGGTCCGGCTGGGAGATATGGGGACTGGGGAGTCCTGGATGTCCACCTCCATGGGTTCCTCTTTAACTTTCACTGCCTGTGTCTCCTTGTAGCTTTCCGCTGCAAGCAGGTGGGTGAGAGAAACCAGAGCCGTCCTTCATTCTGAAGCAAACCCACTTTCTGCCGTCTTTCTGTCTGTCTGTTGTGCTGGGACTTGAACCCAGGGCCCAGTGCATGCAAGGGGTGCACATGCTCCACCCTGAGGTGTATCCCCAGCCAACTCAGTCGCTAATTACAAAGAAAACCATGAGGTTTGTGTTAGAAAAGAGGCTAGAAGAGTGGGTGCCACGGGACACTAAAACACAGTGTGAAACCATTAGCTCCACCCACCTGTCTTCCAAAAAAGGCTGGAAATAGGATAGCCTGAGAAACAGAGTGGTCCGCCCAAGGTCACAGAGTTAACAGCCTGGCTGCCTAGAACCTCAGGCTTCTTGGTGAGGGATTCCCTGACCAACCCTAAGTCCAGTGCTGACTGTAAACAGAGAAAGCAGCCAGCAACTGTTCTGACTTTATAGCTCAGCCAGTTTCAGCGACTCAGATAAGAGCGAGCTTCCTAAGATGACAACTTCTTCCCTGTCTCTAAAGCCCGCATCAAGGGTTTTCTCTCTAAGAAGGCATCTAAAGGACAAAGGTCAAACAAAGTGGATTCTTTGGAGGAATTTCTACCTTTCTGGGGGCTACTAAAGCTTGAGATCACTTCTCAAGTTAACTGAAGCCCAGATGTACACCTAGAAGCAGTCTCAGAGACCAGAATGAGGGCAGATCACAACCGTTCTTCCTCAGAGTTTCTAGACGGCCCAACGTTAGTGGGAAACATGCATTTGCTTTGCGAGCCTGGGTGTCTATGGTCATGCACTCCTTGAGTGAAGCACAGGACATGCCTGGACCACAAGGTGGGTCACTTCATCCAGGCACAAATTTGGACACATTTCCAAACCAGTAAACATGTATTAGTAACTACCGAGTACACAGCACCCTAGAAGACAAAAGTCAGAGATGACCGGGACACTTAGCTAAAGGACAGACAGGCAGTGGGTTGAGCAGTAACCCAGCATCCGACCATGAGACCCTGTGAACACGGTCCTGTTTGGGGAAAAGCATTTCACAGACGTGACTAAGGACCCGAGATGAAGTTTTAGTGGATAACCCAGGAAAACTTAGAGCCAGTGACAAGGGTCCTTCTTAGAGACAGGAAAGGACAGAGTCAAATAAGACTCTGGAGCTGGGCGGTGGTGGCGCACGCCTTTAATCCCAGCACTCGGGAGGCAGAGGCAGGCGGATCTCTGTGAGTTCGAGGCCAGCCTGGTCTACAGAGCTAGTTCCAGGACAGGCTCCAAAGCCACAGAGAAACCCTGTCTTGAAAATAAACAAAGAAACAAACAAAAAGGAAAGACTCTGGAGTTGCCGTACAACCGGCTAAAGAGCTGCACAAAGCATGGCAAGGCAAGGTCCCCCCACTAAAGCATGGTGGGCATGAAACGCCTGAACCGGGCTATGACGGCAACCACCACCACCACAACAGCCGCATGAAGCAGCTACCGAGCTTCTCAATATGCCTCACCGCTGCGCAGCAGAGGCGGAGAATGCACAGGACAGAACAGTCTTCTGACAACCGACGGAACAGTATTTGCAGGCACTGACTCCTGGGTCGGTCCAGCAATGGGGAGAGAGCCATCAGTGCCGCAAACTGCTGAGCGGAGCGGGGAGGAAAGTCAAATAGGTGCTGTGTGGAGCAGTTAGAAACAAACAAGCAAACAGAAGAGCACTTCAAATTAAACCATTAAAATTAATCTGTGGTTACCAATGCAAGCTTATCATAAGAGTGCTAATTTTTTGTTTCTCTTCCTAATGTATTACACACGGTTTTTCTGAAAAAACTGCTAATTCTTTGGCCAACAGTTGACCTTTGGGGCACTAAGATATTTCATCTAGATTGTCCTTCCTTCCCCTCTTACTGACAAACTATTTTCCCCTCTGTGGATCTAAGTAGCTCAGAAAAACTGAGTTCGCTGATTCAGTCAGGCATGAAAAAGAGAAAGTGGGGCAAGAAAAGGAGGAGAGACGGGGGATGGAAGGAGTAGGAGGAAAGAGAGAGCAACTAGGAGGAGGAGGAGGAGGACGGGGAGGAGGACGGGGAGGAGGAGGAGGAGGGCAGAAAACCTTTTCAGTTACAGATCAGCAAATTTCTGGGGTGCTGGCTCCCTGCCCTGGGGATGTGATGACCCCACAGACACCCTAACCTCCAGTTGGATCATCTGCCCACATGAGCAATCACAGCACACATTCCCTTCTTCCTGTCCCCACAGAGTATTCAGTATGTGGAAACTAAACAGAGGGTCAGGGTCACGGGTACACAACGGTGGCTCTGACCTTCACACTGCAAAGTCTCTTTGGAGCCTGAGGACACCCACAGAGGAATGCCAGGACCAATACAATGAGAGTCACTGACTTAAAAAGAAAAGTCTCAACACCGGAAAGAGTGAAGTTGGGAAGAGGTTCCACAGTGTATCTATCTCCTCCTCCACCCTCAGGTCCCCATCTTTGACCCTGGATCAAAAGCCACGTGACTGTCTGCACCCTGAATTGAACAGAACAATTTAGTTTTTCAGGCCAACTGGGGTAGCTTCCAGAATGATCGGCAGGACAGTGCTTTCTGTCCTCACAACAACCTGAAGAAATTTCAGAAGAATGTTCTAAATTAACAGTGATAGACCCCGGCTCAAACACTAAGGCGGAACCAGGCACGAAGGCGCACACCTTTAATCCCAGTACTTGGGAGGCAGAGACAGGCAGAAGTCTGTGAGTTCAAGGACAGCCTGGTCTACACAGTGAGATCCAGGACAGCCAGAGTGACATAGTGAGGCCCTGTCTCAAAAAATACCAAGATATGAAAGGGGAGCCCACCCCTGACACTGCCTGGAGTGTCAGGACCCAGAGGCTGGAGGGCCCAGAGACTTAGGATAGAACCTAACATGACTGAAAATAAAGTCGATGAATAATAATATTCTGCTATACTCATGGATTGGTAGATTGACGCCCGGCCCAGTCGTCATTAGAGAGGTTCATCCAGCAACCGAGAGAGCAGATGCTGAGACCCACAGCCAAACATTGGCGGAGTTCGGGGAAGCCTGCAGAAGAGTGGGAGTAAGGGCTACAGGAGTCAGAGGGGTCAAGGACACAGGCACAAGGCCCACAGAGTCAACTAAGCAGAGACTGCCGTGATAACCAGGGAATCTGTGTGTGTCTCAGCTAGGTCCTCAGCATGTAAATTACAGACACATAGTGTGGTGTTCTCGTGAGACTCCTCACAGTGGTAGTGGGAGAACCCTTTTCCTCCTGCCGGTGTCTCATCCAGCCCTGAAATGTGGTCATGTGCCCAGTCTTAGTGTAACTCGTTAAGCCATCTTGCTGTGCTCGGCTGGTACACCCGGGAGGTCTGCTCTTTTCTGAAGGGAAATGGAAGGAGTGGATGGGGGGAGGGAGAGGGGCAGTGGGGGAAGGGGCTGTGAAGACTGGAGGGAGGGGAAACTGCAGTTGGACAAGGAAAGAAAAATAAAAATATCTTAAGACTATGAGAAAACAAGATAGATAGATAGATAGATAGATAGATAGATAGATAGATAGATAGATAGATAGATAGATAGAAAAAGGAAGTGTCAGACTGAAGATCAATTTCTGGCCTCCACACACGCACACACAGAGTGACTGACAGATAGACACACAGTCAGACAGACAGACACACCACACACACACATACAAGATATTGTCCACTTTTCTTAGGGAGGGACAAACAATCCCTCTGGTAGAAAGCTATTCTTCTGAAATTTCTACCACATCTGATTTTTCACTCAAAACAACAACAAATTGAAAACTTCAGCCAGGCATGATGAAGCATGCCTTTAGTCCCAGAACTCAGAGGCAGGGGCGGGCAGACCTCTGAGTTCAAGGCCACTCTGATCTATACCCAGGGCTACCCAGAGAAAACTATGTCTCAAAAAAAAAAATCAAAATATATAAATAAATAAATAAATGCAAAAAAACAAATAAAAACCTTCATCCAGAGCAAGAAAGGAAAAGTTCCTCTTATGTTCCAGTGGGGACCCACCCCATGCTAATCACAAGCCCAGCCAGGTTGCCTAAACAAGTCTGGCCTAGGACCAGAGGTCGGTCTGACCTGGGAACATAGGTGTCTGCTCCAAATACCATTGTCCCAGCTCAGCTACTGTTTGCCTGGCAACATTCTCACAGGACAACGGTTGAATCAATCCTTCCCACTGGTTCTTACCATCCACTCACACCAGGGCTAAGTGTTCACTTCTAGGACCTTCGTACACAATAGAAAAGTTTTGAGAATCTCTTACTTAATAGGACAAGCACTAATTTCTGTCCCAAGGAATCTATAAGATTAAAAGAGGAGGGGCCACACTTGTCAGGAAAGAGCATGCCTTGAATTTGACCTCTAACACCCATGTACAAAGGCCAGGCGTGGCCGTCAGTGAGTTCTCAGAGTAAGCGCAATACTGGGGAGGGGGAGACAGGTGGATTCCTGGGACTTGCCTCCTGGGTGAACCTCAAACCAAAGAGAGGCCCTGGCGCAAAATCAAGGCAGACAGATCCTGAGGAACAACACCTAAGGTTGATGTTTAGCCTTCACACACGTGCCCTACATGCACACACACACACACACACACACACACACACACACACGCGCGCGCGCACACATACACTCCTACACGTACACACACATACACATGCACACACACGCGCGCACACACACACACGACAGCCTTAACCAATTATGATGCAGGAGAAACAGGTTCTGTGTGACCTTACACAGAAATGCTCCTTATCTGTAATTTCCCTTTGATAAGTGTGATAATGTGGCACACACCTATTTTTTAAGGAGACAATGCCCATAAACAGATGCAGGTGTCCAGCTTGTGACTGGAACGGTGCAGGCATGTCCTCTGACCCCTAGCAGCGTGGGGAGGGGAACTGGATAAATCCCACTCAAACCCAGCTTGGTCGCAGAAGGGGTACAGGGGAAGCCCTGTCCCACC